ATAAATCCTGGGGCAGGGATGGAGAGTTGGGATAAATCCTGGGGCAGGGATGGAGAGTTGGGACAAATCCTGGGGCAGGGATGGAGAGCTGGGACAAATCCTGGGGCAGGGATGGAGCGCTGGGATAAATCCTGGGGCAGGGATGGAGAGCTGGGATGAATCCTGGGACAGGGATGGAGAGCTGGGATAAATCCAGTGGCTCTGGGGCTGCTCCAGAGCCCTGGTCATGCCCAGAATGTGCCACTGGAGCCTGGCACCCATGAAAGCCCCAAAGCAGGGCTGGAAGGGGATTTTGGGCAGCCCAGTGGAAGTGTCCCTGCCTGGGGATGGAACAAGAAGGGTTTAAGGCCCATTCCACAAGAAACCATTCTGTGATTTGGTGGGATGAAGGTGCGACCCCTTCCAGGAGCCCAGGGATGTGGGTGTGCCCTGCCAGGCCTGGGGCTGGTGCTGCTGTGCACTGAGCAGTGCTCACAGTGCCCAGAGCACACCAAAACACACCCAGCACCCATCCTGCACTGTTGGAACGCTCAATCCCAGCACTCTGGCCAGATTTGTCTCCATTTAAGGCCTGGAAGTGAGGGGTTAACGCAGCTCACAGCCAGCCCCAGCCGCGTTTCTGGAGGAGAAGCAGATGTGGGAGCGGGGAGTGAGAGGGGCTGCCTGGGGCTGAGCTCCCCAGCTGCGGCACCAGGCAATCAGGGCTGCAAATTGGGATCAGATGTGGGCAGCTTCCCCCTCTAAATGCAGCACTCGAGGGCTGCCCGGGCTGGTTCTGCTCTGCCTGGGGAGGAGGAAGAGGAGGGTTTTGGAGAGTTGCTGGGGTCTGGGGTGGCTGCAGGGACCTCTGGAGTGGGGTGCTCCCTTTGGAGAGAGGTGTTTTCCTTGGGGAGCTGTTCTTCCCTGCCTCTTTCCTCGCCTCCTCCCCTGTCTGTGCCGTGCTGGAGCAGGCTCTTCCCCGAGCAGGGATGATGCAGGAGCTGGTGGCTGGTGTGGAGAAGATCAGGTTTGACTCGGAGGCTGATGTGGAGGAGCTCGGAGCTCGACCCCTGCCCTTCCTGGGGGTGGACAGTAAGTTTGGGACAGGGCTGTGGGGTCTTTTGGAGTTCTCAGTGCCCTCCCACACCACCTGGGTGGTTTTATCCTGGCTCCAGGCGTTGCTCCCTCAAGGATGGCAAAGCTGTCCGGGAGTGCCAGGGTCCCCAGTGTGGTCCCAGCACTGGGGGTGGCAGCTGAGGCCCTCCCCAGGGCCTCTGGGGCAGAGGGGACAGGCTGTGACAGGGGTGTGCAGGGACACAGGGGACAGGCTGGCTGTGATAGGGCTCTGCAGGGACACAGGGGACAGGCTGGCTGTGACAGGGGTGTGCAGGGACACAGGGGACGGGGTGTGCAGGGACACAGGGGACAGGCTGGCTGTGACAGGGGTGTGCAGGGACACAGGGGACAGGCTGGCTGTGACAGGGGTGTGCAGGGACACAGGGGACAGGCTGTGACAGGGCTGTGCAGGGACACAGGGGACAGGCTGGCTGTGACAGGGCTGTGCAGGGACACAGGGGATGGGGTGTGCAGGGACACAGGGGACAGGCTGGCTGTGACAGGGCTGTCCCAGGTGTCCAGGGCCACCCCCAGCCCAGCGGGGCCAAGCCCACGGTGTGCAAGCACTGGCTGCGAGGGCTCTGCAAGAGGGGCGACGGCTGCGGCTTCCTGCACGACTCGGATGCCAGCAGGATGCCCGAGTGCTGTCTGCACTCCAAGCTCGGTAGGTGCGGGGCTGGGCATCCCAGGGAGCCTCTTCCCACCCCTCTCACATCCCTCGGGCCTGGCCTGGAGCAAGCGGCTGGTGCCACCTCCTGACTGCGCCAAGAAGTGTCACTGTCACACAGCCAGGGTCCCCCCAAACCTGGCAGTTCCCAGGGCACCCCAATTCCTTCCATCCAGCCCTTCTTTGAGCGATTCTCGCGTTGTCCCAAACGCCCCACGCCTTGCTCCGACAGGCGAGTGCAGCAACAAGGACTGTCCCTTCCTGCACCTCGATGGCACCGCCAGCACCGTGGGCTGTCCCTGGTATGACCGAGGCTTCTGCAGGCACGGTGAGCTGGGAAGGGGCTGGAGCCCCGGGGAGGGCTCATGGTGCCCAGTCCCGGGGTGATGCCGTGTCCCTCTGAGTGTCCCCTCTGCCTGGCAGGTCCCCTGTGCAAGTACAAGCACACTAGGAGGGTGATGTGTGCCAACTACCTGGTGGGCTTCTGCCCCGAGGGACCCAAGTGCAAATTCGTGCAGTATGTACTGGGCAGGCTGGGGGGGACTGGAAGGTGGCTGGGGGGGAGGAAATCCCCTCCCTGAGGTGGCTGTGGCCCTTGCAGGGTCAGGGACAAGGACACAAAGGGTCTGAATTAACCAAACCCCACACCCAAGCTGTGCTGCTGGCAGCGGTGGGTGGCTAGGGGACAGCTCTGGTCCCCATGGAGGTGCCAGCTCCAGGGCACCCCTGAGGGGCTGTGGGGGCACCTCAGGGAGTAACTGCCTGTCCTCTGTGTCCCCTCCAGCCTCAAGGCCGGGCTGATGACGAGCAGCACAGAGCCAGCCAAGGTGAAGCTGTTTTCCCTGTGCCCACGGGGGTGATGCCCCAGCTGTCCCCCAACTCCTGTGGGGCAGCAGCAGCTGCCAACTGCCCCTCCTGGCCCCTTTTTGCCCCCCCAGGAAGCTGGATATCCATGGGGGCTGGTACAGCGGGATCTGGCTGCTGCAGAGGAGATGGGAGGTGAGGAAGAGCCACCCAAGGAGCCACCTCCACGTGGCACCCAGCACCTGGCAGCTCCTCTGTGGGACACCAGCCGCTGTCCCCAGAGCCAACAGAGCCTGCTGGAAGGAGGAACCCGCTCCAAGGTGAGGGATTTTGGGGAATGGGAGGGCTGGGAGCAGCGGTTTCACCTTGCAGGGGGAGGATGAGGGGCAGCAGGTGCTGTGGGGATTCCCAAAACAGCCTCTTTGACTGGAAATGTCTTTTCCTTGTGTTATTTGGCCCTTGGAGCTGGGGTGGGAACCAGCAGGGGAAGGGGTTTCGGTGGTGAGAACCCTGGGAACAACAAATCCTTCTGGGTCAGAGGTTGGGAGAACAACAAATCCTTCTGGGTCAGAGCTCTGGTGTTGGAGGTCTCACAGCTGTTTCCATGATCCCATTCCATTGGAAACGGGGTCAGAACACACGTGTGCCAGTGGCTGATCCAGCACAAACCATTCCCAAACCATTCCCTGTGCCCCCAGAGCGGATCAGGCAGTCCCTGTGCCAGTGAGAGCAGGAGGACTCCGCTGGGAATGCTGCTGGGAGAGTGACTCCAGCACTGCCACACGGCTCAGGGAAGGAGGACACCACGGAACACGACGGACACGGCACCGGGGCAGCGGCTGGACTAGAAAGGGCAGCAGGGTTTGGCCAGCACCAGCTCACAGTTGGCACAGGCAGCACAGAAATCACTCCCTGCCATGGCAGTCACAGCTGGCTGCTCCCCCTGGCACTGCTGGCTGAGGGCAGGCCGGGGCAGCTGCAGCATTCCCGAGGTTTTCAGGGGTGCAGGACTGGCTGGTGCCAGGATCCTGGGCACAGGGGTGAGGATGTGCTCACCCCTTGGGAAAGGAGCACAAAGCACCACGTTTCACATCACAACCCAAGCAGGAAAGGAAAATCCACACAGGTTTTTATCGCTGGTGAGAGAGTTTTTGGTGCAACACCTCTGTGCACGGCACTACTGCACTCAGCAGAATAAAGAGCTCAGACTTTTAATTCTTGGCTTTTCTTTTTGCCCTTCGTGCCTGCAACGTGACCAACCCTTTCCCAGACATGTCTGGGGATGGCAGGCTCCAACTAGCACTCCTGACTGTCCTGCTTTGTCTGCTGCAGGCACGGGTTTGCCCTCTGGGCACAACAGCTCATCCCTTGGAGTTTTCTTCCCCAGAATTAGGGCGCTGTGGTCTGAGCTGCTACTCCAGCGCCTTCACACAGGTCCTGGCCAGTCCCACCAGTACCAGGGGTGAGTACAAACTGGGCTGGGCCAGGCACAGCTCTGAATTTGAAGGGAATGAGTACTGGGGTTGAAGCTCACCCTGCTACAACACTCAGCTACAGCAGAATTGTCAAATCATCTCTAATGACAACTCATGAGGGGTTGTCCCATGTCCCAAAGAAGGGATCTGGGACTCTGCAGCCTCCAGGAGCTGTCCTGGAGATCTCTCAGGGTGCCTCTAATGCTTCTTCATTTCACTACTCAAAGCTGCCTGAGGCATGGAGAGGTGAGCACAGGCCGTCCCTGTCACCTCCCTGCTACACCAGCTGACCTGCAACGCAGCCCCTCCTCAGCTCCAGCCCCAGCCAGGCCCCTGCAGCTGCCAATTCCTGCTGGGATCCTGGTCCTGGTTGCTCTGCAGCCTCCCAAAGAGCTGTGGCTGTTCCCTGGCTGCTGCTCCAGCTCCTTCAGTGATATTTTCGCCAGCGGTGCCGCTCTGGAAAAACGAGGAGAAAACCATTGCAGTGTCAGCAGAGGGATCTCTCTGGGGGCTCCAGCTGGGGTGAGGAGCCCGACTGCAGCTTCTCTGTTCACGTGCTGCAAGGGGGAACCACCCAAACACCAGCAAATCCCTTGCCATTTGTCAGGAAATGCAGGGAACAGGAGCTCCTGTTGGAATATCTCCTCCCTCTGCCCTGTGCAGGCTTTTCCCAGTGCTCCTGCCACTCCTGGAGCTCTCCAGGGAGAAGCTGTGAGTCAGCAACTGCTATCAGCACTTTTGTTAACCAAATTCCTCTCCCCACCTCGGGAATCCTGCTCTCTGAGCTCTGGTATTAGTCTTGAGCGGGGAAGTATTTAAATAATTCAATTATTTAAATTATTCCCGAGCTTTAATTAACAGCAACGCTAAACAGGCTTTCCAAGTACTGCAAAAGGAAGGAGTCCTGAAACAGGAGAGCCCAAGGAATTCTTACTGAGGTGCTGATAGTTCCAGCCATAGCTGAGCAGGCAGTACCCAGCCAGGAGCATGGAGATTCCAGCAGGTCCCCCCTGCCTCACGTGGATGTATTTGGCACAGTAACTGCTCCAGGCTGTTGGGAGAGAAAGGAAAGGGATAAACCACGGGCTGGTCTTGGGGATTCGCTGTTTCCATGCAGCTTTACAAAGCTAAAATGTTGGGGGTGTTTGTTTGTTCCCAGAGGGCAGGGATAGATGGGAAGGAGCTCCTTGTGAGGGGGGTGAGGCCCTGGCACAGAATTCCCAGAGAAGCTGTGGTTGCTCCTGGATCCCTGGAAGTGTCCCCAAAGCCAGGCAGGACAGGGTTTGGAGCAACCTGGGACAGTGGAAGGTGTCTGGATCATCTTTATGGTCCCTCCCAAACCATCCCATGATTTGTGCTCTGTAAAGATCCAGGCTGGCTACCTGGATCAATAAAGTAAATCAGGGAAGTGGGATGGATGGATGGATGGATGGATCTGCCCCGAGAGCCAGGAATTCTCACCTCTCTGCACTGCTCCCAGCAGCCCCTGGGGAGAGAAGTTGCAGGTGCTGATCCAGGTGTGCAGCTCCCCCAGCCTCACCTCCATCAGGGGCCTCTCCCAGAGGGGACCTGTGGGGTGACAAGTCACAGTGGTCACAGCAGGGGAGCTGCTGTGTGGTGCGGAATTTGGGATTGGAAAAGGAGAGGGAATCACCTCTCCCACAAACTTTGGGCTCTGTCAGCTCCAGCCTCCACAGAAACATCATCCATGAGCTTTGCAGGCTGCAGTTAAACCTCCTTGGATTCTCCTGGATCCTTCCCTGGGAAAGCCCAGCGTTCCCTACCCCTGCTCTCCCATTCCAGCGAATCCCAGCAGGGAGGCTTTGGTTACCTTGCTGGCCCTGTGTGAAAGCACCCTGGGGTGCCTCAGCAGCCATCCTCACATCCTCGTGGAAACGCTTCCCTGGGAAAATCCTCAGCCCTTCATAATCAGGATACAGCTCTGGAAACCACTCTAAGCCAGAGGCCTGGGCCGAGCAGGGGGGCTGGATCTTGGGGGTGCGGAGCAGAGCCAGCTGCGGGGCTGTGCCCAGGTTCAGGGTGGGCTCGGGGGCTCCCTGCAGCTGCTCCCCGCTGTCCCGCGGCCTCTGCAGGCTGCTGAGCTCATCTCTGGCTGTTCCCCGGCCGTGAGCTCCCAACGCCTCCGTCAGTGACAGACGGAGGAGGTTCCTGGGATGCGAGGCAGACACGGGGGGTTCAGATCCCACCCCAACTTCCAGGCGCCCCCGCTCCTCTCCTGCCCTGGATTTGTCTCTTCCCCCGCGCTGGCCCAGGTCACCGAGGCCATTTCTACTCTCGGGGGGCTCTGCAGGTGCCTTTGTTGCCTTTAAAGCGCTTTTCCGTCCCTTGGAGCTCCCGCTCCCCTCGGCTCCCTGGCTCGGAGTCTCCTTGCTCGTGGATTTTTGGGCGGTTTTGCGGCGCTGCGGGTGAGGAGCGGGGCCGGGCTC